GCGGGCCACAATTGGCCCGCGGGTCGGTACTTTGAGACCACTGGTTTACATGCTGGGATTAGTACAGCTCATACTGTAAGTGCTGCAGGTCTCATAGACTCCCATCGCTTTAGTAGTTCCATGGGTGGTGCTGCACTATTAAATGGCGTTGGAGGGACGTTACCACCCACTCATCTATGTCAGAAGGTGTACAGATTACTTTAGACATCCTTTAAAGAGATGCTGTCACTTTTCACAACCTAGAGTCTAGATAGAGTGGTGATGTTACAGCTTTCATCTTGTGACGGTGCTTGGGCTGCTAGGCCTGAGTGCTGCAACATGGGAAGAGGTCGCATTCGCCCAGATACCTGGAAGCACCGGGTATTGCGCCTTGGCTTGGACAGAGGAGAAATCATCAGGAAATGCTGAAGAGGTGCAGGAGTGCCTTCAATAGCTTTCAAGTCTCTGACCTGGAACAACTAGGCAGATCAGAAAAGTAAATTTAGGACTCCTGATCTGCCAAATTGTTCTGGGTCAGTCAATCTTGAAAGTACTGAGTATCTGTATGACTGTTGGACTATTAGCATTTTCATTAGTCAGTGGTTGTCTCCATATTTCTATAAATAAAGCTGGAGTTGCACTTTAATGAAAAGATCTTTTTTCCCCTCCTGACCCTGCCAGAGATGCACTGCAGATGAGTACATTGAATTGTGGCTCCAAATAAAATCATCTCATCCCATTGCAGTGCCGCCTGGGCTGGAAGACGTTGACTGTTCTGAGTCTGGGATGTAAATGAAGTCTGTCTTTTGGCATAATGATGATGAGATGACATCTGCAGATTTGTATTCTGTTGTATTTAATGACTTGTTAACTGATCACAGGAGGAGGGAAAGCCCATGATTAGCATTGAGGGGTTTGACGGAGATCTGTGCTTCCATATAATTACAGATTGAAGGAGAGATAATGAGCTGTCTGGATTTCCTGAGGTCCGTCTACAATGCCTTTGGTTTTACTTTCAAATTAAACCTTTCCACCCGCCCAGAGAAGTACCTCGGTGACGTTGAAGTTTGGAATCAGGCTGAGAAGGTATGATGGGGCAGCTGAAAGTGCCTTTATAAAGCGTGACGCAGGCATGTTGAGGTCAGGTAATGCTGTTCAACAGAGAATGCCGTATATACGACTAATTGTGCCCTACATGCCGAGTAAACTTTATCTCCTATTATGTGCCACATATTTCTATTTTCTATGATTTTGTTTGTCTGGAGTTTAGCACAAATCAGTAGATTTTTAACAGCTGGAAACACATTTGAAATACATATATGAAAAATGTGTACCTGCCAAAGGATTCGTAATTCTGATCTTGTGATCCAGCCCCCTGCTAGACAGCACGGCCAGGTCCTGACCCTTCCTGCAGATTACAATGCAGCAAACAGCCTGGTTTCATGCCTGTCCCAGAATGTGAGTGGACAATGAAGGAGCAGCAGCATATAATGTGATCCTTCTGCTCACCCCTTCTGTAAGCAGATTCACATGTAATTAGGGATCAGTGGACCATGTGTGCATAATCTGTCCATCGCTCCATGTCCCAAATGAGCATTTCTTCCCTGCAGCTTCAGCATCAGGGAAGGCGATAGCGATTGTACATGATTGACAACACCGTGCAAAGCGTTAGAGCTTTGATTGGCTTGGGGTACTCAACTGTCCTCATGTAGTCTGAGTTTTGCTTTGCAAGTGATTTATAAGAAGCCGATATCAACCAAGAGCCATTTATTTTATCTTTGTATTTAGCTGTTTGCCTTGAGATCAGCTTTAAAGTGTATCTATACCCACATTTCTTTAACATTTGGCTAGAGTGGGGGACGGATCAGATCCTCTGTCAGGTTCTCAGTGAGAGGTTTGGGGCTCAGAGGTTTGCTTTGTGCATGACATTTTCAGTCACAATGTTTCAGTCCCAACCTGTAATTTAAAAAAAAAAGGAACTATAATTGCTCTTGTGCTTCAGACGAGCCTGTGTGCTCACCATACCTGGAAACGTGGCCCCAGGTCTTTATAGCAACCACTTGCAGATTACTTCCAAAGCTCCCTGGGTTCCTCCACATTCAGGATACTGTAATATGTTAACAGCAACCATAACTGGCATTGTGTAGCGCGATTTTACAGGAAACACCTGAACACAATAATTTGGAAGGGGTGTCCTCATATGACCATAGAGTGTATTTCATTTTTCAATAGCTTCTTACGTGTCTTGGGGACAACAGCAGATCAATCTCCAACTGTTAAGATGTGGTCTCATTCCTGATATTACTATTTTTTTTTAAATTTACATTACAATAAATGATGCAGTGTTTATTTTAGGGATGGCACTGGTAGAACCAGATATTTATGCTGGGAGATACTGCCACATTCGTGATTTATAGACTGGTTTTCCTTTTTAGCCAAAAAGCACTCGGCTTCTGGTCCCGGCAGCCCTCCCTCCCGCCTTGCTTCTGGTCCCGGCAGCCCTCCCTCCTGCCTTGCTTCTGGTCCCGGCAGCCCTCCCGGCTGCTAGTGTTCTGGGACCTGCAGGTGACAAACCATTCGTAGGAAGGCAAGGTAGTATATATTGCGTTATCCAACATCATTGCATACTTGAAATACCCATAAAGTGTCACCGGTTATGAAGATGTTGACACATATGGTAAAATCAGGCTTATTTACAGTATATATAATATCATTATATGAACAGTATATATAATATCATTATATGAACTATGAGCTGGCCTTGAAAAGACCGCCATTCTTTAGTTTGTTAGAAATTGCAGGAAAATAACATTTCAAAACAATTTTTTTTTCCAGCAACTTGAAAACAGTTTGAATGAATTTGGAGAGAAGTGGGTCCTGAATCCTGGTGATGGAGCTTTCTATGGACCAAAGGTTAGTTTACTTACAAAAACACAGAATCAAGGGATATAGAACATGATTATAGGCCTATTCTCACCTTTGTGTTGTGGTAGCGCACATCTGTGTGATGCAGAGCCATTCATTCTGAATGGCACCCTAACACCTTTCCAAAAGCATCAATGCTCGAACATATGTTGTTGTGTGATGTGCTGCCCGAAACGTGACATGCACCTTTTCTGGTGCGTTTGGCATCCCACTCGAAATGCAAGTATGGTGCTTTTGTATTGCTGTCACCAAATGATAAATCGCAGGGATTTTTTTTTTTACTAAGGAGCCGTAAACACTACGCAAACCTGTTCCTGTGGGGCCATAGTTTGATGGGAGAGGATCCGAATTTACGTTTCATTGTTGCCAAATGTAGACACAAAGCAGATTTTAGAAAGATAAAAAGAAGGTTGCAAAAAGCCGTTGTGCATAGTGTCACTTGAAAGAAGCTACGAGCAGGCTAGAAGCTACTCAGCACCACTTGAATACCTACTTGCAGCTTGTTTAAAGTGACAGCACTCCCATTAAGATCTACGTTTAACATGCCCATACTGGAACCAAAGTTTGCTTTAAAAGCTTCAACAATGCTGCCTGAAGCTAAATACTTTGCTTGCTGTAGATATTACTCTTCCACATACTAAATCCTGCATATCCAAGGCCTATTGGTTGTTTTTTAGTTTGTCGCAGCTCTCTCAAATGACCTAAAATCCTGGTAGGCTTGACAACCTAGGCTCTGACCTGAAGCACTGTGGGCATTTTAGGTCATTGGAGACTGCAGAGCAACTATATTTTTTCATACAGACAAACATTTGTAGACATGACATATGATAGCAGGATCATCAAGGTGTAAACGGCAAGCATAGACTGTATGTAATGAGCAAATATGCCTCCCCCAGTATAAAGATCTAATTACAAAGTATGTGTAGGAACAATGTTCGTATAACCTTTACACACATTGGGAAGGTCATTTGGAATTTAGTCTGATCTTTCACGGTTAAAAAGATAGTCTCCCTTTTAAATGTGACAACAATCTTTTTGTTTTTCTTACTAGATCGATATCCAGATTAAAGATGCTATCGGCCGATACCATCAGTGTGCCACAATTCAGTTGGATTTCCAGCTCCCCATTAGGTTCAATCTGACCTACGTCAGGTGAGTGGAGCGCTCATGAATGGGACAGAGTGTCATTGAAAGATTCTCCCGTCTTCTCATATCTTCCTCTGTTTCCTCTCCGCAGCCCTGATTGCGATGATAAGAAGAGGCCGGTTATCATTCACCGCGCTATTCTGGGATCTGTGGAACGCATGATTGCTATTCTGACAGAGAACTATGGAGGAAAATGGTAATTGTTGTAATATGGAGTTTAGATGTAGATTTAACATGGAAATGCATTTTAAAAGACAAACAAACAAGAATCACAGTTTTGCAGATGTGGATGCTTCTTAGTTTTGGGCATACAGAGAGCATTTAAAAACCAAAAAAGGTTCTAACTCTCCCACAATTAAATACATTGGGATATGTGGTATTGTGTATCCGATAACGTTTCATTGGTACGCTTGTTAGTTCACTATTTAGTCAGTTGCCTCAATCTCTGTACATAGCATGCTGTATCAATCACCACTGATCCACGGGTTCACCAACAAACTAGGCTACACAGTCAAGTTGTGACCTATAACAAGCTAGTCTGTGACCAAATTTGAATACTGATTTATAGTTAAAAGCTGAACTAGAGGTATGTGTTATTTTGGCATACCTGCATCGATCCAGTTTATCCGTATGTATGTATGTATGTATGTATGCATATTCAGTACTTGATCAGTTGCTGGGCATCCTGTAAAGCTCTGTAGTAGCCGGAGCTACTGCAGAGGTGGCCGCAATCACCCAGGTCCTGTACTATGCTGTGCTGAGTGACTTCCTCTCTGATTGGAAAACGCTGGGGGGGGGGGGGACTCCCGCCTTGCTTCTGGTCCCGGCAGCCCTCCCTCCCGCCTTGCTTCTGGTCCCGGCAGCCCTCCCTCCCGCCTTGCTTCTGGTCCCGGCAGCCCTCCCTCCCGCCTTGCTTCTGGTCCCGGCAGCCCTCCCTCCCGCCTTGCTTCTGGTCCCGGCAGCCCTCCCTCCCGCCTTGCTTCTGGTCCCGGCAGCCCTCCCTCCCGCCTTGCTTCTGGTCCCGGCAGCCCTCCCTCCCGCCTTGCTTCTGGTCCCGGCAGCCCTCCCTCCCGCCTTGCTTCTGGTCCCGGCAGCCCTCCCTCCCGCCTTGCTTCTGGTCCCGGCAGCCCTCCCTCCCGCCTTGCTTCTGGTCCCGGCAGCCCTCCCTCCCGCCTTGCTTCTGGTCCCGGCAGCCCTCCCTCCCGCCTTGCTTCTGGTCCCGGCAGCCCTCCCTCCCGCCTTGCTTCTGGTCCCGGCAGCCCTCCCTCCCGCCTTGCTTCTGGTCCCGGCAGCCCTCCCTCCCGCCTTGCTTCTGGTCCCGGCAGCCCTCCCTCCCGCCTTGCTTCTGGTCCCGGCAGCCCTCCCTCCCGCCTTGCTTCTGGTCCCGGCAGCCCTCCCTCCCGCCTTGCTTCTGGTCCCGGCAGCCCTCCCTCCCGCCTTGCTTCTGGTCCCGGCAGCCCTCCCTCCCGCCTTGCTTCTGGTCCCGGCAGCCCTCCCTCCCGCCTTGCTTCTGGTCCCGGCAGCCCTCCCTCCCGCCTTGCTTCTGGTCCCGGCAGCCCTCCCTCCCGCCTTGCTTCTGGTCCCGGCAGCCCTCCCTCCCGCCTTGCTTCTGGTCCCGGCAGCCCTCCCTCCCGCCTTGCTTCTGGTCCCGGCAGCCCTCCCTCCCGCCTTGCTTCTGGTCCCGGCAGCCCTCCCTCCCGCCTTGCTTCTGGTCCCGGCAGCCCTCCCTCCCGCCTTGCTTCTGGTCCCGGCAGCCCTCCCTCCCGCCTTGCTTCTGGTCCCGGCAGCCCTCCCTCCCGCCTTGCTTCTGGTCCCGGCAGCCCTCCCTCCCGCCTTGCTTCTGGTCCCGGCAGCCCTCCCTCCCGCCTTGCTTCTGGTCCCGGCAGCCCTCCCTCCCGCCTTGCTTCTGGTCCCGGCAGCCCTCCCTCCCGCCTTGCTTCTGGTCCCGGCAGCCCTCCCTCCCGCCTTGCTTCTGGTCCCGGCAGCCCTCCCTCCCGCCTTGCTTCTGGTCCCGGCAGCCCTCCCTCCCGCCTTGCTTCTGGTCCCGGCAGCCCTCCCTCCCGCCTTGCTTCTGGTCCCGGCAGCCCTCCCTCCCGCCTTGCTTCTGGTCCCGGCAGCCCTCCCTCCCGCCTTGCTTCTGGTCCCGGCAGCCCTCCCTCCCGCCTTGCTTCTGGTCCCGGCAGCCCTCCCTCCCGCCTTGCTTCTGGTCCCGGCAGCCCTCCCTCCCGCCTTGCTTCTGGTCCCGGCAGCCCTCCCTCCCGCCTTGCTTCTGGTCCCGGCAGCCCTCCCGGCTGCTAGTGTTCTGGGACCTGCAGGTGACAAACCATTCGTAGGAAGGCAAGGTAGTATATATTGCGTTATCCAACATCATTGCATACTTGAAATACCCATAAAGTGTCACCGGTTATGAAGATGTTGACACATATGGTAAAATCAGGCTTATTTACAGTATATATAATATCATTATATGAACAGTATATATAATATCATTATATGAACTATGAGCTGGCCTTGAAAAGACCGCCATTCTTTAGTTTGTTAGAAATTGCAGGAAAATAACATTTCAAAACAATTTTTTTTTCCAGCAACTTGAAAACAGTTTGAATGAATTTGGAGAGAAGTGGGTCCTGAATCCTGGTGATGGAGCTTTCTATGGACCAAAGGTTAGTTTACTTACAAAAACACAGAATCAAGGGATATAGAACATGATTATAGGCCTATTCTCACCTTTGTGTTGTGGTAGCGCACATCTGTGTGATGCAGAGCCATTCATTCTGAATGGCACCCTAACACCTTTCCAAAAGCATCAATGCTCGAACATATGTTGTTGTGTGATGTGCTGCCCGAAACGTGACATGCACCTTTTCTGGTGCGTTTGGCATCCCACTCGAAATGCAAGTATGGTGCTTTTGTATTGCTGTCACCAAATGATAAATCGCAGGGATTTTTTTTTTTACTAAGGAGCCGTAAACACTACGCAAACCTGTTCCTGTGGGGCCATAGTTTGATGGGAGAGGATCCGAATTTACGTTTCATTGTTGCCAAATGTAGACACAAAGCAGATTTTAGAAAGATAAAAAGAAGGTTGCAAAAAGCCGTTGTGCATAGTGTCACTTGAAAGAAGCTACGAGCAGGCTAGAAGCTACTCAGCACCACTTGAATACCTACTTGCAGCTTGTTTAAAGTGACAGCACTCCCATTAAGATCTACGTTTAACATGCCCATACTGGAACCAAAGTTTGCTTTAAAAGCTTCAACAATGCTGCCTGAAGCTAAATACTTTGCTTGCTGTAGATATTACTCTTCCACATACTAAATCCTGCATATCCAAGGCCTATTGGTTGTTTTTTAGTTTGTCGCAGCTCTCTCAAATGACCTAAAATCCTGGTAGGCTTGACAACCTAGGCTCTGACCTGAAGCACTGTGGGCATTTTAGGTCATTGGAGACTGCAGAGCAACTATATTTTTTCATACAGACAAACATTTGTAGACATGACATATGATAGCAGGATCATCAAGGTGTAAACGGCAAGCATAGACTGTATGTAATGAGCAAATATGCCTCCCCCAGTATAAAGATCTAATTACAAAGTATGTGTAGGAACAATGTTCGTATAACCTTTACACACATTGGGAAGGTCATTTGGAATTTAGTCTGATCTTTCACGGTTAAAAAGATAGTCTCCCTTTTAAATGTGACAACAATCTTTTTGTTTTTCTTACTAGATCGATATCCAGATTAAAGATGCTATCGGCCGATACCATCAGTGTGCCACAATTCAGTTGGATTTCCAGCTCCCCATTAGGTTCAATCTGACCTACGTCAGGTGAGTGGAGCGCTCATGAATGGGACAGAGTGTCATTGAAAGATTCTCCCGTCTTCTCATATCTTCCTCTGTTTCCTCTCCGCAGCCCTGATTGCGATGATAAGAAGAGGCCGGTTATCATTCACCGCGCTATTCTGGGATCTGTGGAACGCATGATTGCTATTCTGACAGAGAACTATGGAGGAAAATGGTAATTGTTGTAATATGGAGTTTAGATGTAGATTTAACATGGAAATGCATTTTAAAAGACAAACAAACAAGAATCACAGTTTTGCAGATGTGGATGCTTCTTAGTTTTGGGCATACAGAGAGCATTTAAAAACCAAAAAAGGATCTAACTCTCCCACAATTAAATACATTGGGATATGTGGTATTGTGTATCCGATAACGTTTCATTGGTACGCTTGTTAGTTCACTATTTAGTCAGTTGCCTCAATCTCTGTACATAGCATGCTGTATCAATCACCACTGATCCACGGGTTCACCAACAAACTAGGCTACACAGTCAAGTTGTGACCTATAACAAGCTAGTCTGTGACCAAATTTGAATACTGATTTATAGTTAAAAGCTGAACTAGAGGTATGTGTTATTTTGGCATACCTGCATCGATCCAGTTTATCCGTATGTATGTATGTATGTATGTATGCATATTCAGTACTTGATCAGTTGCTGGGCATCCTGTAAAGCTCTGTAGTAGCCGGAGCTACTGCAGAGGTGGCCGCAATCACCCAGGTCCTGTACTATGCTGTGCTGAGTGACTTCCAGTAACTTCCACGCTGTTCTGAACACAAAGGGGATTGCTCGCTCGGCACAGCAGCCATTCAGATAATTCCCAGTATTCTTTATCAATGTATGCAAGGCATTCTCTGATTGGATGAGGGGCCGATTGTGATGTCACCTCCTCATCCAATCAGAGACCACCTTGTAATCATTGTTAAAGTATGCCTTTTTTTGAATAACTTCTGTGCCAAGCGCGGAACCCGCTGTGTTTTCAGAGCAGAGGGGCAGCCACTCTCCACTGAACAGGACTCGACATACCAGCACCGTAGTAGCTTCCCCAGGGGCCGATGGGTATATCATATGCATACTTACCTTGGGCTAAGCTGGACCAATATAACTATGCGTTATACTTTATACCTGGAGTTCAGCTTTAAGAAACTAGCTTGAAGCAGAACTCTGGGGGAAAATGTTATGAACCCTTGCAGAGGGGCCACCCCTACACTGCAAGGGTTAAGTGTTTGTTTTGGTCTAGGGCTGAAATGAACAAAGTTTATGCCCGCCTAATCCTCGAGCTGGCTTGCTTTGTGTCTCTCCCCCTCTGGTGCAGTGGTCTAAGATCCCTCAAGTTCTTTACACTGTGTATTGGATGCCGAGAGACATACCACATGCAGCATAGGAGGGGACAGGCTGGAGGGAGCGCTGTGACAGTTGGCCAACTCTGAGGTTCAGGCGAGTATAACTTTATTATTTTTGTCCCTGGATGAAAACAAGCAGTTAACCCTTGCAGTGTGGAGTAGCCCGTAGCAAGGGTTAATAATTTTCCTTCCTCTTTAATCCTCACTGGAATTCACCAATAAATACATCTCAGATCTATTTAAATCTATTTACAGATGGCATTCTGGCTTCCCTGCTTGCAGATTATGCGTGTGTTTGTGTGTATTGTGTGTTTGCACTCAGTCACGTCAGCGAGATAATCCTGTTTGTCTGTATTCTGATTTGCACATCCGCACAGTCCGGCTAATCTGTTGTGATCTCTTCCCGCAGGCCTCTGTGGCTTTCTCCGCAGCAAGTGATGGTGGTGCCTGTGGGGCCGACATGCGAGGAGTACGCCCAAAAGGTCATTTTAAGCCATTTTCTTGCTTTCACAGAGTAACTCCCATTTCCTCAGCCCTGCTGTATCAGGATTGTCTTCTGAATGCCCTGTGTATATTATTTAGTGTAATTCTACATATTTCATCTGAGATACAATATGTCACCGGTCGCCAGGCAACAGGCAGTCTTTTTAACACATGACGGCTTAATAGACAGGAAACCTGCAGTGACCTATCAGCTCTTGTATTGTCCGCCGTTAACCACTGTAGTCAAAGCTGGTGTTGTACAGTGTTATCTGCCTTTAGCAGCCACAGGAACTATAAATTGCCAGGTAATGTAATGTTAATGCATTACAATGCCCTATAGGGAAAATGTAGGCTACACAGTCAGGTTGTGACCCATAACCAACTCGTCCGTGACCAAACTAGGGTCCCGAGTCACAGTTTAGCCCCTTAAGGACCCTTTCGCTGCCATGGCCTTTTTTTAGTTTTTGGCACCCATGTTATAATCCACATTTTAGGCTTGAGAATTACTTCAAACCCCCAAACATTATATATTTTCTGAAAGCCAAGACCTTCTAGAATAAAATGGTGGCAGTTGCAAATTTTTATGTTGCGTGATATTAGTGCAACTTATTATCAAACCCAAATATTTAGTGAAAAATTTACTTGAAGGAGAACTATGGGGTCAGTGTTTTTCCCCATAGTTCTCCTTAGGGTAACGGGAGGACACAAACTAGCGTCCTCCCGTTACCCTAAGCTCAGCTACAGCTCGCGGTATACTGAGACGCCTGAGCGGATCCCGACGTAGATGACGGGATCCGCCCAGCTGCGTGAGTGACAGCTGGCTCTGCTTATCTAGAGGCAGAGCCAGCTGTACCCTCCCCCGTCCGTTCTGCCAGTCAGCGCTGGCAGATCGGAGAGGGGAATCCAGCCCCTCCCCCTGTCACGGCAGAGAGCCGTGACAGGATCGAGAGGCGAGCGAACCTGGTATGTGTTCGCTCACCTCCCGATCTACTGAGCCGACATGTGACAGTCTCATTGTCACAGGTCGGCTAGAACTATGAGGTGAGTGGAAATCACTCATCTCATAGTTCTCCTTTAAGTTAATTTAAATGCCCTAAAAATACAATATAATACCCATTTTTTTTGTACAATATAAAAGATGAGATTATGACAAGTCAATAGATACCCAACATGCCCAGGTTAAACATTTTGTGCGTCTGTGAAACGGCGACAGGTTTCAGTACCCTAAAAACTCCATAGATGATTTAAAAGCCCCTACAGGTAATCAGTTTTGAGATAAGCAGAACTATTGGCCCTACAATTGTTGCTCTCACTCTGGTGATGCACGATCAATTTTTTCTAGGGCTGGTAATGATTAAAATTTTCCTGTTCGATTAATCAAATTTTTTTTTTAATCGATCGACTAATTTCGATTAATTATAACGCACATACAGAGGGGGGTCTCACCAGAGCTTTGAGGGGGCCTCACTAGGGTAGCAGGGCTCTGTGGGGTCTAACTAGCCTTGTTAGAACAACAAGAGAGCGCAAAACTAGGTCAGCTGACTGCCTGGACCGAACATATCAGGGAAGGTGACAGGAACAATAAATATATATGTATAATGTACTTACTTATGTGGGTCTGGGAACCAGATGTGAACCGGCCTGTGAGGAGGATCAGGATGTCCACAATGTATGTTGAATGGCGGCAGCCTCAAGCAATATATCAGCCGCCATTCAACATACATTCCCGGATATGTTCGGTCCAGGCAGTCAGCTGACCTAGTTTTGCGCCCTCTTGTTTCTCTCTTTTGGTTTTCACATCCGATGCAGTCATGAACCAGGAGACTCACCGGCCCAAGTGATTCCGTTCAGGTAACGAAGGGAAAAGGGAGGAGTCCGGTGACATCACGGACATCGGCGTCACCGGACTCCTCCCTCCTTCCCTTCGTTACCCATCACGGACAACTACATCACCGGACTCCTCCCCCTTCCCTTTGTTAGCCGACAGAGCCACTCGGAGAAGGGGGGAGGAGTCGTGACGTCACCGGATCTCCGACGGAAGACCCGGAAGCCGGGGGAGAGGTGAGTTCCGATCAAAATAATTTTGATCGATCAAAAAAATTAACGATTAATCGAGGGATTAATCGTTAATTTCCACAGCCCTAATTTTTTCGCATGTAGGCGCACCCGACGCATGTTTATGTGAATATGTGCGTGCTCGTGGAGGCCCTTTAAACAATGTTAACGTTTTATTTGATTTTTTTTTTACTGTGCTTTAATTGCTATCACATAGCTTACAAGCTCCCCATGTGATAGCATATTGGTGGTGACAGGTCCTCTTTAAGGTGATGCTGGGGGTCCAAAAGACCCCTAGTATCACCTTTACACTCTAAATAAGCTATTGACGTGCAGATTGCACTTCAATAGCTTATTTCTGGGCTTCAGAAGCGGAGCAATGACAGCTCAGGGACCGGAAGTGATGTAATCTGCATGCCTCCCAGTCCCATGGTGCGGAGAGGAGAGCGGTGAACGGACGTTCGCCGCTCTCCTCCCCAGCTTCTCGCCGACACCTGCCGGGAGTCTACTTAAACAGGCAGCATGTAATGAGGGGACGAGGTAGCATGAAGCCAGCTTCCCGGCCAATCAGGAAGCCACGCAGCATGTATTGACTCACTGCCCGGCTTTCTGATACCTGAAGTATCGGGCTAGGTATCGGAGCATTTGGGCGAGTACGAGTACTCTGCACCGATATTAGTATTGGTGCATCCCTAATGAAAAGTGACATTTCTCTCCCGTTCATTGAAGGACACAGGGAACAGATCGGAGATCATGTACTGTAGGGTAATATCGCCACCTGCAGGAGAAGGACGCTAGGCACAAAAAAACTAAAGACCAATTACAGCCTAGGGGCGGCCCCTGCCTTTTGCCTAGCGTCAGGAGTAAGGAGCTAAGAATTTTTTCTCGGTATTCTTACCTGCTTCTTCCTGATTTTTTCAGAAGATTCTTCTAGCAAGTGTTGTCAGGGCGACAGGCTGGATGTCTCGGATCCTTGGAGTCTCCCCTGGATGACCAGTGAGCGTATGCAGGCCCGCTGCGGTGGGTCGGCTACGACGGCCCCGCTCCGGCGGGGTGGCCTGTGGGTTCGTCCCAGGGGGGTGCATATGACTGGGGGTCTCGGCCGCCCAGTCACAGCACTTCCCTCAGGCTGCTGGCGCCGCGGCTGCGGTCGGGGGCGCCAGGTTTCCGCAAGCACCTGTGGGTTTCTTTGATGTCCCCTACGCTGCTTTCGGCATGGAGGGGGGTGCCTGGTCTGCGGATGGTTGCGTCCTCCTGGGGTATGTATGGGATGGGGGGTCCGCTGGCGCGTGCCTGGATCCTTTGGCTCCTGAATCGCCTTGCAAAGTATTTCTTTACATTTTTGCTTAAACACTCAGTCATCAAGTATTCAAACAGCTCCAACTCTCTGAGCTCAGCTTCCCTGAACTTCCTGTTTAGTACAATTTCACAAGGGACAGAGCAGTCTCCAGCAGCCATCTAGCTACTAGCTTGCAGAAGGAAGGAGGAGTGGGTAGCAGGGGGGAGGGGAGTGGCTTGCCTTGCTATGTTTGTGGAGACGCACACAGTTTACTAGCACACACAAGGGTGGCTCCATAGGACCCTGCAAGGGAAAGAACCCAGCCTAAAACAGCATATCAAGGCCAGTGCTCAGGAGACCAGCTGACTCTGCAGGAAACGTCAAGGAGCAGCATTCATTGTAAGTGATTTAATCATTTGAAAAAGCTTAAACACATTTTGATTTTAATATCACTTTAAGTGACGCTATTTCCAGTGCACATTTCTTCCTTTGTTTATATTGCCACAAGATGGCACTGCTGTTAGTCATTTTGTACCTTGAAGGAGTTATTACTTTGTTAAAGAGAGTAACAGAACGGATACTTTTCCTTTCCATGTAATTGGAATAGTAACATTAAATTATAGTGGAGGATCTGTTTAATCTGCGCATATCTGTCGATGATACTGCACCATGGAGGGTTTCACCCCAACCCTGTCATGTTTTTTTTTTAGGGGGGGGAATCTTGTGACTAAGGCTGGGTTCACACCTGGGCGTACGGAATATGCGCGTTTCGTACCGCGCGACAAACGCACGTTTGTGAGGGCTATCGGCTGTATACTAATGGATACGCGCAGGAAATACGCCCCAAAGTAGCTTCTGCACTTCTTTGGGCGTAGGGCATTTTTCAGCACGTTCCTACGCGCTGTAAAACGCCCAGGTGGGAACCATACCCATAGGCAGTTATTGGTTTTCACATGTTGAGCGTTTTATAGCGCATAGGAACGCGGTGTGAACCAGGCCTAACTTTTTTTTTATTTTCTTGACGTTGATGTATCTAAGAGCAGAAAGCTCTTTGCTGAGAAGATACTTTGATTCTAATATACAATTCTTGGAATACTTTATCCATCATCCTGATCATACAGAAAGAAACTGCAGCATAGCATGTTGAGATGTGTAATAACACGGGACTGCAGGTTCTGCAATATCCAATATTTTTACATTTTTGAACATACTTTATGCACCCAAACTGGATATTTGTTTTGGTAGGGAATGTTATGGGCTTTTTAGAACTTCCCCCCTACTTAAAGTGACACTAAACTCAGGAGTTAAATCTTAAAAATCCATTCAAGTCCCCCAACTATTACCAGAAATGTATCTTATTTGTGTATCACTCGGCTGTAGATCCTCAAATCATCTCTGAATTGGTGGTGACACTGTCCTTCCTTCTGGAGGGTGGTTACTTTTGTTTCCCATGGTCCCTGTGTGTGTTGTAAAGTAGTCACTGCTCCAAGCTCACTCCTGTGATGGACTACAATCTCAATACAAATCCGTAAACTAAACATGAGATTGTAGTCCATCACAGGAGTGAGCTTGGAGCAGTGACTACTTTACAACACACACAGGGACCATGGGGAACAAAAGTAGTCACCCTCCAGAAGGAAGGACAGTGTCACCCCCCAATTCAGAGATTTGAGGATCTGCAGCCGAGTGAATTACAAATAAGATACATTTTTGTTATAAGTTAAGGGAGAACTATGCTGTGAGTGCTTTCGACTCATCCTCATAGTTAGAGCCAACGTGTGACATTGAAAAAGTCGGCTGTATTGATCAACACATACTGTCGCTTGCTCACTTCCAGATCATGTCCCTGCAGAGAGTGGTGCCTGTCAGTCACCGCTCCCTGAAGCGATTTCCCCCCCAATCCTCCAGTGCTGACTGGAGGAGGGGGCGGGCACAGCTGACTCTGCCTCTAGATAGCCCCCTGTCAATCAGCCAGCTGTATTGTCGGGATCTGTCCTGGCTACGGCGCTCTCAGTATATAGCAAGCAATAGCCCGCTATATACTGAGCTTTGAGTCACGGGAGGTCGTTAATATATGTCCTACTGTGACCCTAAAGAGAACTATGGGATAAAAAGGTTACCCCATAGTTCTCTTTTAGTGTACTTGAATGCATTCTTAAGTTTTAACTCCTGAGTTTAGTGTCACTTTAACACTGTTCTACACCAGAATGTTTGCATAGCAGACCCATTCTGTTACTACTTCTGGATGCCCCTATTGCATATCTTGCTGGATCTCCCTCCTTTTGTAGATCAGGTCTGAGTCAGAGCTAACAGTACTAAGGGCCCTCTCGCCCATCTAGCTGCTCTGAGGCCTAGAAATTGGCTGCTCTGGCACCAATTCTGTACTGTGGGGGAAATAAAAAGGGACAGTGTCATGTGTACCCCAATATCCAGGATTAAGTTTTACTCGGAACACAAGTAGGTAGACAGAAAAGTGTGGAAGCGTGCGAGTGGTGGACTCCCACAGGTGAACGGAGCATCAGGAGAATGAAGGGGAAGGTAAATATAAGCTGCTTAGGGGAGGAGGGGAGGGGAGGCAAAGGTTCAACTGAAATATGGTGTCCTACAGTCTTTTGGAGGAGTGTCTATCTAAACTAATACACAGTTTTGGCTGAATGTGAACAGTACGAGATCATAAACTAGATTCTGTGTTACATGTGTTTGCAGTCCAGATCACACTGTAGAGCATAATACACTCCCCTTCTACACTCCCCACTGCTCATTTGTAAGTGAATTATCACCTAGTACAATGGGGAACATATCAGTGGCTTAGTGGTTATCACGTCTGCCTTGCAGCACTGGAGTGAATCCCAAAGGACTCCAGCCAGAACACTGCATGGAGTTTGCATGTTCTCCCATGCAAAGGATGTTATTCCTAGGTTAATAGGCTGCTCTCTAAATTGGCCCTAGTATGTGTGTTCATGTATTTAAGCATGCAAGGGTGGGACTTTATGGGGAGTGTGTGTTTGTGTGTGTGTATGTGTGTGTATATATATATATATATATTAGTGTATCTAAAATGTGTGTACATGGGAAGGGGAGAACTTTGTGGCTAACCCTTCCTCCTTCCGATGAAACTGGCTCTATAGAAGGTGTGTGCACCACAGAGGATGCAGCAACTTGTATTACAGGGGGACTGTCTATTGTCTAGGACAGTCATTGTGGTCTTGTAGGAGGATAGGCGTCGCACAGACAGGAATTGTACTTGCTGCAATGCCCCTAAGTGAAACTTTGGAGGCACACAGTGGTGAGGGGAGAAAATTAAACAGTTTTCCACTACAGACAGAAATAGATATGACAGAAACCGGTGAGGTTGTAGTTCTGCTGACTATGTTGCTTTACCTTGCATGGGCATAGCACTGGTTTCTTTAAGTGAAATGAGGACAGATGCAAAGAGTTACCCAAAAAAACTATTTTGACAAAATCGTCATGACAGAATACTGCATGGTGTTAAATAAATTGTCCTGTGTGAAAATGTGAGTCAGTGATTTACTTGCAGTCATTAGCGGAGCTCTCTGATTATCAAAGTGAGTGACCTATTATGAACTTCTACTGGTGAATTGAAGGGGGTCAGACAATGGGGATCGTGGCTTCTCACAATCTCACACTCTGTAGGAGTCTTTATAATGATGTGTCAGAGACCCCTGCCTATGCTACCATCCTGCTACTCATAATGGCTTTTATCTTTGTTTCTCATTGTGAGCTTTCCTCTGTTCCTCACACTGCAGGTCAAGGATCAGTTCCACCATGCAGGCTTCATGGCAGAGGTAGACCTCGATCCAGGCTCCACTCTCAATAAGAAGATCCGAAACGCACAGCTTGCGCAGTATAATTTCATTCTTGGTGAGAGAAATTGATTTGTTCTTCCAATAGAATTGCATTAATCTGTATGCGCATTCAGGAGCTGAATTTACCATGTTTCCCGTGCCATGATTACATGGTCATTACGAAAGGTCAGAAGATGGGCAACATAAAGTGAACCTGTCTCGAGTTCATAGTTAAAAGCTAAGTTTTACTTTACTGACCATGTTTCATGTTACACTCGTACTATAGGGTGTAACATGAAACATGGTCAGACCGCAACGCAGCGACTCCTCTCCCACCTCCCCACTTACCTGAATCGTTGGGTTCTCCCTGCAGACTGCTGCTTTTGTTTAAATTTGTAGTGGCTGCATGGCCCACATTTCAAATATTCACTAGCCGCATCAACTATTCACAGATCCTTTGTCGGGATCTATGAATGGAGAAACTACAAGTACCATCAACCAACATGGCTGAGGGACTTTTAATTCTTAGTGGAATAGAAGGTGACGCCACCGCAATTGTATTCCATTGACTCTTCCTCCAGTCTATGTTACTGATTGTCTGTACCTCAACACGGACGCAGGAGTCAAAGCATTGCACCCACGATCCCTGAGCACTATCACTTTCATAGATTAAGGTATCACACATGTTGAAGTAGCGAGCAGTAAAGTGCACATGTTATCCCAGCACTCAGTAACGCACCTTACGCACATTAGTGCACCGAGGCATCATTCATATTGAATAGCACCACAGTGCATAAACACTGTGTGTGCATTGTGGTGCGCTGTGCTGCCAATAAATCTGCACTTTTTTTCATGCACTGGGGAATGTTGCAGCTTATTCATTTTTCATGGGCCGTCTAATGCAATGCGCCTCAACACACAACACCACATCCATTGCTACGCATGGCGTTGCATTGTGATCGGGCCATTAGCTTATTAGGAGTTTTAACTCTGTTGTGTAGTAATTTTAATGTCGGCTTACTTCAAGCTGCCTAAACAGAGAAGAAATCTTCCAAGAGTGCTGCTGAATACCACCTACAGCACCGATCCTCTGCAGCAGCAAGGGTTAACAGCAGCCACTGTCAGCGCGAAGAGTCTTCAAGCGTTGCACTACTTGCCTGCTCCATCCTCCTTTCTCCTCCATTCATGGAAGCTGTGCTTTTATTTCCCACAGTGCAAAAAAGGACCTGTGATTGGCGGATGGGCAAATGAATGACAGCATCTGCCTCCTCCACTCACAGGTGGCTTTGCTTTGTGAGAAATAACAGTGCAACTTCTATGAATGGGGGCTATAGGAGGAAGAAGCCGACAAGCAGCACAACTTTTGCCCACTTATTCACGCTGGTAGCAGCTGCTGGAAGAGTAGTTCTGTAGGGGGTATCCAGCGGTACTCGTAGGAGGGTTACTACAATAAACAGCAATCATCTGGACATGGGACACTACTCATTGGAGGACAGTTATGTGTCTGGGGCTGCATAACAGAAAATGAAGTAAACTTCAGCTTTAAAGTCTGGTTCACACTACAAAGTCTGCGTTCCAGTGCGATCAGCCACTGGAACACAAGCCGACAGGCTTCCTGCATTCAGGGGTGGGAGCGGGCACGGTGGTGCATTGAAGTCAATAGCACTGCAGCCACGCTCCCCGCACCCGAACGTGTGGCACATTAGTGCCTGCGTTCCGGTCCAGTACGATCTCCAAAAACAGTGCATGCGGCATTTTTGCAGATTGCACTGGACTGGATTGCAGGCACTAATGTGCCACGCATTCGGGAGCGAGCAATCATGCTGTGGGCAGGGGGTGTGGCTGCGGTGCCATTTACTTCAATGCACCGCCCCGCCCCTGAACGCAGGGAGCCGGCCGGCTTGCGTTCCAGTGCGCTCCAGAGGCTGAACGCTCTGGAACACAGACTTTGTGGTGTGAACCAGCCCTAAAGTAAGAGTTAGTGCAAGTACATTTTAAACTAGGGCTGGACAAATCCCAGGAACCAGGTAGCCACATTCTCCATAGAAATTACAGCTGGCCTCTAACTTTTGAGGTTTTCTCTAGTTGTCAAAGGAGCAGGCTCCTGGATTGGACAGACTGGCTCCTGAATTCAATATTAAATTGTCAACAGCATAGGTTCACATCAGCATGCTGCTATTTTTCTTTTTTAATCATATGCAAATATAACTGATCAGTGCAAAGCATATGCCCTGTGCCATCTAACTGCCTTTGCCCCGTGGAAGCCGTCTGACAGGTTCACGCCTGGTCCGGCTTTCTAGGAATTTCGATTAATTAGAAAGAGATGGTTTTCCTGCACTGACAGTGAGGACACACTAGGGGTAGCACCTCCTACACCACTACAGCTGTTCCTTCTATGTTTCAGTGGTCGGCGAGAAAGAGAAAACCAGCGGAACAGTAAACATCCGCACACGAGATAACAAAGTGCACGGTGAACGCACAGTCGCTGAATCCATCGAGAGGCTCCTCCAGCTGAAAGAATCCAGATGTAAGAACGCTGAAGAGGAATTTTAAACCTTCCTTCCTCAGCCAGCCCTGTGCAAGGAATAACCGCTTTACAATGCAGTGCTAGAAGATGAGCCAAACAAAACAAAGAAGTCCATTAATTTATGTCTTGTGCTCATTAGGGATGTATCTCTCAGGGGACAGTTCTATTTTTATGCTCTGGATTTTTGACACTTTTTCACCTAGTAGATCGTTTTGTTTTATATATTATAATGTCCAATTTTGTCATCCTGTCCTTGTATGTCTTCTTGGATCCCTGACTCCCCGTGGATTATTTCCAAATGATTGTCCGGGAAAATGCTTCCCAGGAGAATCTGCTTTTAATGAAAGAATCGGAAGCTTGGCGAACAATGGTTTGATAATGTTACAAAAGTTAGAACAAATTCTTGCTGGGAGGAGATGGCGAGGCTTCAAATCTACTGCGCATGTTCAATAAACAGGAGAAATGTTGAAGTATTGTGTATGTCTTGTGTTCGACCTGACTTTGGTGTAAAGTGCACCTTTTCATTGTGCAAACCACCTGCAGGGATGTGCAGGAGAGGAGTGGAGAGGGTAGGACAACCAGTAGAACACTTCATCTTTTGACTTTCAAATGCTGGCTACTGAAATTTCCATAATTGGTAAGAAAATTACTAAAAACTAGGGATGCACCTATACCGGTTTTTCAGTTACGAGTACCAATATTTTTTTTTCCCGGTACTCGCCGAGTAACGGTGCTTTGTGCCCCGATTATCATGCAGTCGGGCAACAGATTATGGCTCGTCGCCCGGCTTCCTGATTGCCTGTTAAGCCGGTGTTCTAGCGAAAGAACACCGGCTTCAGAGGCTGCCTGGCTTCCTGACCTATCATGAAGCCGGGCAGCGAGTCATGAGGTGTCATCTGGCTTCCTAATGGGTCAGGAAACCCGGCTGCTTAGCAACAAGTGAAGCTGGCTTCCTAGCCAATCGGGAAGCCGGGCGGCACGTCATGATCCGCCTCCCAGGTTCCTGATTGGCTAGGAAGCCGGCTTCACTTGTTCCTAGTCAGCCTTGCTTCCTGACTAATCGGGAAGTGGGTTGTTACGTGCCACCCGGCTTACTGATTGGCTAGGAAGCCGGCTTCACATGTTGCTAAGCAGCCTGGCTTCCTAGCCAATCAGGGAGGCGTGTCATAACCCACCGCCCGGCTTCCTGATTTGAAAGGAAGTAGACTCCATGCCTCCTTGGCACTGCAGGTCAGAAGGAGATCTCCCTCTGACCGGAAGTTCTTCACATGGGGGGTTTCCGAGGAGGAATAGAGTTTGAATTTGCTGTCCAAGAAACAGTCAGCTACAGTTAAAGCCAGTTATTCTGGGGCAGTGGAGGTAGTGGGGGGTGTTTATTAATACTGCAGTCATCATAACTGCTGACAACACTGCCTACTACTTCCACTGGGATGGTCGGCAGACTGTGAAGTGATGGGAAATACCCAGAAAAAAAAAAAAAACAGGAGGTGGGGAATTGGAAACACTGGAGGTTGAAAAGGAGCCATCAAAATGTAAGCAGGTTATTAGCAGCGACTGTGTCATAGAGTCCAGGAACAATGGAGGTGTTGCTAGTCCCTAGCTTGAGGTGGAGCAGGGCTTTGCTGCCAGAAAGTGTTTACACAGGAAATGGGACTGTGGAGCTGACCAATGGACTCTGGTCCAACAAACAGCTCCTCTACTCCATCTTGTGGCCATATTGCAGTACTTTCCCCATTCTGATCTGTACCAGAAGAGAAATGTAATTAATTCATTAATAAAGAACAATCATTTTGCCCCACTCTCACAACGGCTGGTTAGCTCGCTCAGAATGAATGTACCTGCAGATTTACTGCATGAATTAGCTATGCAGTTTTCTTTTGTTTTTTTTAATAAATACACCCATAAGTGGATATTTCTCTTCCCTTTATGGTAAAAGTGGATATGGAGTGTTATGAAGAAACGGCCACATCTCCCATCAAAACATTACAATGTGAAGTTCAGCAGATGTAAAAACAAGTGATAATCACCACTACTGAGACAACAAACCCACATTAGACAGTCACATGACAGAAGACACGGACTCTGCAATTTATTTAAAAATGTTGCAAAGCTATTTTTTCCTGTGCATTAGTCTGAAATGATCATACTTATAATTAAAGGATAAGTGCTCTTTAAACAAAGTGCGTTTGGCCTTTTTGTTCCCCCAGGCCTGACCTAAACGATTCTAGCCTCCTCCTCCGCAGATCCGTACTTGCTAGGGGTCGATAGGTCATCTGCACGGCCCATTATTATGGCCGATAATCACAATGAGCGCAAATCGGCACCGGTATTAATCTTACCGATATTCAAGGGAGAGCGGCCAGTGTCCTGTAGCAGCGGGTTCCCAGCCTGCGTCCTGTGTGCCGCCTATTCTGGCAGAGTGTTCTTCCCCGCTGCCTGTCACAATATTCAAGGGAAATCGGCCAGCCCGATGTCCTGTAGCAGCTGGTTACTAGTCTGTGTCCTGTGCACTGCCTTCTCTGCAGTGTGACCCCTCTGCCTGTCACATAATTCCTGCAGGCGCAAAGGAGATGGCAAAAGAGGCACACAGAGAGCTCAACCAGTCAGCCAGACACAAGGTAGAGCTGGGCAAACTAGTTAATCAAAGTGAATATGTAATACTTGGCCTCTGCAAATGAAAGTTAAGAGTACACAGCAGGTTTTAATAAAGAAATGAAAAGGTTATTCCCTAATCCCTTCGACACTAGTCTAGTAGTCCTCGGTGACCTCACAGATCTTCCGGAGAACGCAAGTATACTAGGACCTGCAGACCCCGAGTGACCGCACATACGTGCTTGGACTTGTAGTCCCTGGTGACCTTACAGGCATAATGGGACTTGTGGTCCTCCAGATACCACAAGTATACTGGGAGTGGGATCTTCCCCAGTATACATGTGGTCTCCAGAGGAACACAAGTCCCTGCATGCCTGTGAGGTCACCTGGAGACTTCTAGTCCCAGCATGAGGTCAGCAGGGCCTACAAGTCCAAGCATTCCTATGTGGTCACTCGGGGTCTGCAGGTATACTTAGAAATTGTGTTGATTTTTCACTACTTTAAATGTACAGCATATCGGCACCTGATATTTGCTTTCTGCCTGAATATCGGTATCTGCTCTGGAAAAATATCGGTCTAGTACTACCAAGATCCGACGGGCACAGTTCTGCTATTGTTTACACCTGGCTCTGCAATGCTCCCTTTGCTGGACGCACTCACACATTACAGCCCTATAGACTTCAATGGGGTAATCATCGAGCTGGAAGATGGATGCGGCCAGGAGAAGGAGACTTGCAGCGCTGGATGTTGGCAAACAGTGGAGCAACGGTCCTCAGATCTCAGTGAGTATAGATCTGCAAAGGATGAGGGTGGGGTCATTTAGGTCAGGGGGCAAAAAGCACAGGTGCACTTTTTAAGCAAAAGCCCTTTATTTTCCCTTTCGCTGCCTTCAGCTCCCTCCTCTGACCCTAATTGCCACCCTACTCCAGGACGGAGGTATGCCTAGCATCATTCAACCACCTCCTATGAGATCTGGCTGTCGTGGACACACCCCTAGCTTTAGAAGTAGAATACTTCATAGACGGGCACTCACACATCACAAGGTGACATACTGGCTGCGGGGCAGAACCACTGTGAGCAGTGAAAAGTCTGCTTCAGCCTCCTGTGATTAAATAAATATACTTGGACTCATATGTTTTAGATGTGGGGTTCTTATTGTCCTTGCACTTTCCATTGTGCACCCGAAGCACAAGTTGAGGCCTCTTCATGTTCATGATCTGCATAGCTGGAGTCATTGAGTTCCAAAGGATAGACTTTCCTCTACACTGAAGAACCAAATCCATTTTGAATCTATTCCCACCTACCACATTCATCTTCTAAACTGTTGTATTCTTAAAGGAGAACTATTAGGAGAGTAACATATACTCTTCCCAATAGTTTGAGCCGGAAGCTGTCATACTCTGGATTTATAGCTCGAGAACTGAGCGATCACTTCATGGCTTCTCCCTGCAGAGAACAGCGACTATCAATCATCACTCCCCAAAGCAGGGGTCTCAAACCTCTGGCCCTCCAGCTGGGGTGGAACTACAAATCCCATGAGGCATTGCAAGATTCTCACAGCCACAGATATGACTCCAGAAGAGAGATGCATCATGGGATTTGTAGCTTCACCACATCTGGAGGGCCGGAGGTTTGAGACCCCTGCCCCAAAGGGATTCCCCCTTCCCTCTCTCTGTTCTTCCGACGCTCGTTGGGGGGGACAGACAGGGGAGGGGCGAAGAGGCAGAGCCAGCTGTCAATTAGGCTTACCGGCTGCAGCACGGTTCTGCATTGTCCGCATATAGTGGGCAGTAGCCCACTTTTTGTAAAGTTTAAGTCACAGGAGGACCTTAGTAAATATTTCCCATAACGTCTTCCAGGACAGCATCACGAGATGGAATCTCCTCCCCCACACACAGGAAACACGTCACTTAATCTGTTTAAAAGACCCTCCTCTCCTCCACTCCCTCAGTCTTTTGTGTTTCCTCAGTCAAGCTGGGGAGCGCGTCACAGAACGCTGAGAGAGGGCTTCCATAGACCCAAAAGAGAACTATAGCTAAAAATAAAGGGATAGCTATAGCTCTCTTTGACTTTAGTAGGGCCGCTCTTGTGATTCACACACTCGACACAGCTGGGAAATCACTCTATCTATCTATATAAAGATGATGATCTATATCACATACATAAGAATATATCTATGTATCTATTACCTGTCTGTCTATCTATCTATCTATATGTAATTTTAATAATGGCAAACCTATGGCACGCGGGGGCCCTCTCTGCCGGCATGTGAGCCATAATCATGCTTCATTGCTGTTATCAGTCAAAGTGACAGATATTACCGATAATAATAAACACTGTGCAAATCTCAACCAGTTCTTCAGGAACCGGACGAAATTTGCACAGTGAGTGCTACTGTCTACCTGTCATCCTTCGATCAGCTGATCAAAGGAGACGGTCAGAAGCTGGCAGCCATTGAGCTATCCTCCCTGTTTAGGTATTTTGACAGTGGACAGCAGCCGCTGTCAGAATACAAAGTGACTCCGCTCCCATGATGTGACTCCGCTCCCATGATGATAACCTTAATTTCATGCCAATATAATGGATTCTGCAGATTTATTCATTTAAAAAAAATCAATTTAAAAAAAGTGATATCACAATTAATGAGGCTGATTGTGATGGACTATTACTAGAACACATTGTGGTTGTGATTATTTATTAATGGTAGCTCGAAGAAAAAGATTCTTTTGTGCTATAGATGTTCAGTTTGATGGGCCGGAGTAGGAAGACAGTACGATGGATGAGTTATACATTTGCACTTTGTTCACAACACTGAAAAGGAGCACAAATCACAGTTTTAAAGGACAAAAAATAATAAAGT